TTGCCAATACAGAAAAACCTAATGCATTGCTGATATAAAAACTGGATGACTAGCAATTACCAACTTTAAAACTAAAAAATTTAAATTACGTCATGTGCTTTCAATGAAAAATGTGGAACAGTTAGTTCATTACATCAAGGCTAGATCATTGTAATGCTCTACTGGGTGGTTGCCCTGCACGCTTAATAAACAAACCTCAGCTGGTTCAAAACGCAGCCACTAGAGTTCTTACCAGAACCAGGAAGTATGACCATATTGCCCGGTTATGTCAACATTGCATTGGCTCCCTATTAACCATCGTATACATTTTTAAATATTGCAATGTTTCCATGTTGTTTTTACTCTCTGATAGTCAAAACATGTTAAAAAATATGTGTGTATGTGTTATTAATACATTAAAAAACAGTCAGGAAAAAAACTGCTGTGTTCAAGGCAGAAATAAAGGGTTTTTCATTCTATTACACAAAGGTGACTTTATTGTGTTTTATGGAAATTCGGACCATGAGTCCACATATGTGGACATCATTTTTCTCTAAAAGTACATCATATCAAAAGATGATTCTTAGTTTTTATTCTAATTAGGTTCCAATAAGCCCAAATAGCAAAGAGAATAAAAAAATGCATGTAAAAAATCAGCTTGGGCCTTAAGAGGTTAAAGGTGCAGATATTAGCTACAATATGCCGATTTAAATATCAAAGCTGATTGAACACTGATGAGAATATTGTTTCAGAATAAATTAACACACAAAAAAAAAAAAAATCCGGACGAGAAACTTTTGTAGCTACTCGGACAAGTGAATGACAGATTAAGCGTATGAAAGGGCTTAATGTCGAGCCCTCCCTATAGCAATGTCATCAGGAGATACACATACACCGGTAGGCAGTGGCCCACCTTACCGGGTGACCACGTCGTGGTCCACCAGAATTTATAGTTTACCCACCTCTTTTTTTTACCACTACACCTCTGCCCGCCAATGCTCCTATTTGAAGCAGTTTGCAAAATATAGAACCTGTTAATGTGTAACTTTGCTTAGATTGATATTGGTGGTTAGATTGGCTATGACATTTGATGGGACCAAAAAAGCATAGTGGTTTGTAACTGTTGCGGAAACTCGTTACTGCCGTGATGCTTAAATCTACCTCCGACTGGAGTCTTTATATGCAAGTTCTGTGTGTCATCCACACAAAACAGATACAACTTTATACATATTATTTAGTTTTCTGTCCCCTAGTGAAAAATAAATATACCAAAATGTATTCGAAATACATTCATTTTATGCTAAGTATACTACAAATACATTTACATATTTATGTACTTGTATATTTGATTGTGCTAAAGTGAAACTATTGCAAGTATACTTTACGTACACTTTAAATATCTTGCATTTAAAGATAAATTTATTATACAGAGATCATACTATCCTTACAGTAGTGATATCAAAACATATTTTAGGCTTAATATTAAGACACGTGCAATGTGCATTGTGCAATAAAGAAGTACTCCAAATAAAGTTAAATTATAATATTTATTTCAGTAAGTCTCAAGCGATATGGCAGTGAATATGTTAGTGGTTTTGTACTATACTTAGTATGAAATAAGCGTATTTTAAATATATTTACATAACATTTTTTAATACATTTTAAATAAACTTTATAGTTTTTTTCACTAGGGTAACTGAAAAGTAACTTACTATGATAAGTTGTTATTTACACACCCCAAGGAGATTAATTGTTCATTAAATTATTCTCTAAATTAAAGTTTAACAAAACAAACAGCTTCACCAGTTCAAAGACTGATTTTTATTTTCAGCAAGGTTGCACTAAATGGATCAAAGGTGACAGTAAAGATATTTATAATGATATAAAATGTATATGTAAATAAATTTATACAGTATTATATAAATTTATATATATATATATACATTTTAAATTGCAATAGGCTAATATTTCACAATATTACTGTTTTTACACTAAAAATCGAATGTTAATAAGATTGTTAATCTTATCAATTTAACATTATTATATTACAAATAACTAAGTTTAGTCTAAGATTACTGTATCAAACAGTATCAACAATCAGCAAAAAAAAAAAAAAACGTACAAAAACAACTTACTGGCTCCAAACTTTTGAACGGTAGTTTACATGACCATGCACTCAAATGTGGTTGACCATAATCTCTTTTAATTTATTTAAATATAATTTAATTTTAATAACAATATGTGAAAAAAATACAACTTCTAATGGAAAAGTGGAAGAAAAAACAATAATTACTGATCTAGTACTGATTAGTGAGGGTTGTAACTTAAAAAGCTGCTTTCAAAGCTGCTTTGAAACAATCTCCATTGTTAAAAGCGCTATATAAATGAAGATGACTTGACTTGACTAACAAATCTAAAACATGAACTGTTGTAGAAAATAACTCTTAAAAGGTTCACACGGTAATTTATGTTTCTTTTGCACTGGCCTATATGGCAGTCATCATGGACAACAACGTGGATACATCATTATACAGAAGCAAATAGTTTTGTTTACTGTTGTCATTGAAAAAAGGTGAATTTTAAATAATGGCACATTTAATATTAAACATGTTGGGTCCTATTCTTTGGCTATTTCATCGGCTACAAAAATACCAGCTCTGAGTTCACCACGTTTAGCTGAGTAACTGCTCCATCTTGGATGTCAGGACACAACCTTTCCTCTGTCACATTCCTCCATTCTACCTGACTCGACACCTCTCTCTCTCGCGCTCCTTCTCCTCCCCTATCCCCGATCTCACACAGAAAGAATAGGACGCAAGCCTCAGTTACTCAGAGCGGCAGGTGCTGCACTAAATTATTGCCCTGCAGCTACAGAGAAAGCACACCCCCAAAAGAAAGAGCAATTTCAGATTAAAAAAGGGCTTTACACCGAGGACCCTGAGGGCGCTAAACAGTGCACATCATTTGATAATTAATGAAGGGCGGCAAACCTTTTCCTTAATTCTTGTTCTTTTGGTGAAATAGTTCACAGATCAATCATAAGCTGGTTATTACAGGGGATAGTTCATCCAAAAAGAAATTCTGTCCAATGTTGTTTGGACACCAACGTTGTTCAAGATATCCACAGAAGAAAGAAAGTCATACAGGTGTGGAACAACATGAGGGTGAGTAAAAGATGACGATTTTCATTTTTGGGTGAACTATCCCTATAATGCCCACTGCTGTCTTTCATTAAAAGTTTGTTCTTCAAAAGTTTATTTGGCCATTGGCAGGTTTCCACAGTTTCCACCTTTTCGATCAACATGAATGCTAGCTGGCAAGGGACGGAGTGTTAGCGTGCCATGCTGCGCACCACACCCGATATTTACTGCGAGGAAAATGGGGGCGGGTGGTGTTGTATGGGGGGTATTAATCACCAGATCAAGAGAAAAGATAATCCCTCAGGGCCAGAGAGGCAACGCGTTTTTCTGTCTCTCCCTTTTTTCCCCATCTTTACTACCGGACAACTACATTCCTCTGCTGGGAGGGGAACCACAACCACCTAACTCTCCTGTGCGCCCAGAGAAAATCTACAAGGCCTCAGCGTCAGGTCATACACTTAATGTCAAACTTTCCACATGCTCTTCTGTTTTGTATAAACACTATGTTAGAGCCATACGTGTTGATAGAATCTGCCCGAGGGATACATCAATTTATGCGATTGCGACTTTATGCAAATGAACAGTTGTTAAACAGTGTTAAAGTTCACTAACTAATTTATACAAGATTTACATTTTATAAAAGAAAAGAAAACTTGAATAGTGTGAACTAGAAACAGATCTTATTCAGAGTATAAAGTGGGGGAAAAAAGATAACTTACACCAAAGAAGAAATTGTCTGATGTGTAGTGTTGTTGTAAATCTCCATCTTCATAATTCATTGATCCAATTCAGTCCCTTTTTTATGATCATTCAAAAATCGTTTAATTTACATGACACAATGCTACATCTGAAGCACTTCAGATCGGATGTGCCATTGTAGCAAAGCAAGGCTATCGTCATCAGGACTTTTATATTTAGCGCTGTTCATCCGGACCTGGACATCTCTTTTGAATTTGTTGCCACCAAAACTATCCAGAATGACCAGGGAAAACCCATAACACCCCCAAAAAACAGTAACACCCCCACATGCAAGTGTAAGTTAACTGTTTTTGCTGGGGCTTACCACTAAATTCCCCACTACTGAAATTATTCACTTGAGTGATCACAATAAACAAAACCAAGTTTCATATGTGATCAAATAATTAGGTTTCTCTGCTTAAGAAATTCATGTGTGTATTCAAAAAATAGTTGGCTGAAGTTCAATATTACATTTAAATAAAAACACACACTCAAACAAAAAAGGAGCTAAAACTATTTGGCAAAAAATACAGAAATTCTTCTGATGGTATGAAAAAAGCTAATTATCTATTGCTTCCATCAAAAACAGCCTGTCTGAGACCATTCAGTGGGAGGTTTTAAAAAAATCCCCATGTACATTTGTTTTAAACTTTGCGGGGGATTTTAGATGAATTCAACAATTAAATTCTTCAGTACTACAAGTAGTAGGAAAATAAGCCAAGTATTGAAAAGATTATTAAATATTTTGTATTATTGGCTTTGTTTATTTTAAAATGTGAAATTACAGAATATTCAACAACATACTCCAATAGAGGCATCACTATTATATTACCGATAATAGATGGTATATATTTGGGTGATATTTTGAGCTACTCCTTTAAAAAAATTAAACGCTTAATTAAAACGAATATTCCCATATTTGAAGCTTAGATATGCATTCGAGAAGATCAGCACTTGCATTTTACATCATCTGACATCTTGAAATGTGTCAAGAACATGGTCCCACGGTAACTGCTCAGATATTAATGACACAGCAATATCCTTCAGATAAGTGAAATTGTTGTTTGATTAAACTTGGTGTAGTTTTGAACTGTGCAAATTTAAGTGTGAAGAGCTGTGTGTTTAGTGAAATGAAGTACTCACTGTAAGGGGCTCCTCAGGCCCATGCATCGTGATGCAGTCCATGCTAATCTGTATAGTATTGGATGCTGATCCGACTGCAGAGCCCTCAGAGAAGTTCAGCTCGATAGGCTGCATTGAATGTAGTGCAGACCTGGAACGGAGACCAGCAAATGGACTGATTACTTGTGAAATGAGTAGATAATGTTATAGTATTCATTTCTTTATTTATAAAGTCTAAGTTAAATAAAATGTCATATCATTTAGCCAATAAGTGGGTGTGACTGCTTTTAAGTATAACGGGTAACACTTAAAGTCTTTATGTATAAGGCATTATAAAGGCACTCATAATGAACTTTATAAAGCATGATTACATATTTTACATAAATAGTTGTATTTATTATATTGTATTAAATATTTTGCATAAATATTTGCAGATTCCTTGTTACATCTGAAATTGGTTGTGTGTCATGTTTTAATGCATTATATTTTCTAAAAGTGTTACAATGAATAGATAAGTCTTATAATTGTGGTTACAATTAATCACGAGACCATTCAATGCATTATAAAGGCATAATTAATGCATTAAAACACTTTTATAATGCAATATATAAAGGCTTTAAGTAAAGTGTGTAACTGTATTATGTATTAAAGTACAAGTGAATTTATAAGGTACTTCATAACTCACTGGTCCAGCATCTCCAGTAGCTGGTTGAGGACGTCTTGTCCGAGGATATCTGTACCCTGAGAGCCCTGGCCCTGTGACATGGAGGTCAGGAAAGAACCTTCAGCCCATGAGAGACAAGCTGCTGCAGGTTCTCTCAATCTAGAGAGATGGAAACAAAAGTTAACTCAAAATGTGTGTCCTCATACAAATTGTGGATACACTTACATTGTATTAAACTAATTAAACTAAAACTTTCTGAAGAAAGAGAAAGAGTGTTTTTTTTATCCATGCTAAAGTCACTTCCAGGGGTTTGTTGTGGGTGTTTGCAAGAATGTTGATATGGGTGTTGCCAGGCATTTTTTTGGTTACTTACAAGAGCCTACTCCATATTTATGTCATATTTTCATATGTACACCTGACAAAAAAGAAAATGATTATTTACGAATATCAGTTATGAACATCCTTTATCCCAAGTATGAGAAGCAGTAATAGTTCGTCTTTGCAATCACCGCTAATTAAAGTAACAAATGACTTGAACTCAAATTTCATTTAGTAAACTGATACAGTATCCATTATTGCCAGGGCCAGATTTACCTTATGTGGGACCCCCTGGCCCGCAAACCTCCAATACTGCTACTTTTCAGGAAAAGTTGTCAAAAGTTGATATTGTAGCTTTACATATGATCATACAACCTACTTGTCTGTGTCATTATATAAACATTTACCAAAATCAAGCTCAAATCAAGTTTCCAAGTTTTTGATCAACGAATGTCCTGTTTTTTCCTCAGTCATTAGAATGGCCACATCTGAGGCAGTGAGTGCATTGCATTATGCTTTCGTCAACTTACAGGTTATGAAATGTATTGCAGCTGTAGCTACGTGTGTACTTAGTTTTTTATTATTATTATTATTTGTCCAAAATCTCACTTCTGCAATGATGGTCAACCAAAATGTGTGCGGCACTTCATTCAAGATTGAGGCGGGGTGGAGTTATGAGGTTTTTACCGACAGATTGAGGAGCCAATGGAGTTACAACGTTTAGTCACAAGCTGTTTTTATACTTTTCATTGGTTAAATATTTGCAAAACCCACAGACAGATATAAAGGGTTACCAATAGTAATGATTTATAAAAAATAAAAAAAAATTATGGAGATACAAGACCTGATGATTAGTTAGTTTATAAAGTAATTGTCTTACAGAGTTTGGCATTACACTGAAATAATAATAATAACAAATATATTATTTCTCCTTTATTGTAATTGGGCCTCCCTGGACCTGCGAGCATAGGCACATGCCTAGCAGAAAACCGGCCCCGGTTATTGCCTTAATGGTGGTGAGAAGTCACTGCACTTCTTCAGGATGTAAAAACACAACTCATTCTTAATTACCTCTCCCGCCACAAAGGCCATGCTCTGTGCCTGTCTAAAGCAACACCAATAACCAGTGTTAACATGACATTCAGGAGCAGTAGAGAGAATAAGACTGTCAGTGAAAACACGACTACCCTCTCTATCTGAAATATGACACCAAGCCAGAGCCCGGCGTCTCATTGTTCCTTCTGAGGAGCAGCCCACGCTGAGGACCAAGCAGAGCGGAATTCCCCTTCGCTGTCTATATGATAGCAACACCACCGCTATGCAGTATTCGGAATGTGTGTGGCTGAACTGGGCTAGGCTGTGGATGGGGGTTGAAGGTAGTAAATGTATATATCTGTGTGTGAGTGTGTGTGTGTGTGTGTGTGTGTGTGTGTGTGTTGGGGTGTCAACCCATAATCTAACGTTGGCACTCGGGTGTGGGGCGGAATTCCCCTACATTCTGTGCGGTGGGGAGATATTAATATACTAAGCTATGTAGGCATGCCTAATAAATGCTGAATGCTTTTTAGGTCGAAGGATGTCAAATTACTGTATCCTAGGCAGAGATACAAAGCAACACTATTCTTTGATATCACTGTAAAGTGACACTTCGATACCAGCCTTTTAAGAGAAACTTCCTTTTACAGTAGGACTATTTGTTCTGCCTAGCATCACAAAGCCTTTTTACATAATACATTTGTATGAATTTGATATGACGAACTAGTAAAAAACTTAACTTAATAAATATGGTGTTTAAAAATTAGTGTTTCTTAAAAGGGATAATTGCGAAATCCTGTGTGCATTGTTTTATTCTGTGGAACACAAAAGAGTATAGTATGTATTTATATCTTTTAATCTTATTTATTAATAAAACTATATCTATTTCCTAAAGGAGGGGAAATGGGAGGGGCAAAAGCAGCATTTGGAATTCAGCTTCAATAGCATGAAGAAATTCTTCTTTTCCCTTTTCTTTCCATGGGCTCCCCAAACATAGCACTTCAGAAGAAACGCAGGGTATACACCTTTTTTTTTAAAAGTCTTTGTTCAGCTGAAGAGGTGTGGCACAAAGTGAATGCTAGAGTTGAATTACTGGGACAACGGTGTGCTGCCAGGCCTGTCACTGGGGATAAAAGCTTTTTCATTAATGTTTGCTTTAAGCCTCATGGATATTGTCATTTGGCACACTGGAAGACACACAAATGCCAAGCCCAATGCGTCAATTGTCACAGTGCGTCCATAGGTCCATACCTCAGCATTCCTACCTCCCATTGTAAGATAAAAATCTAAACCCCTCTACATTTTACACTGTCAACCTGAACAGTCTGAGGGGCTTTTAAGGGAGTAAGTAAATCCAAATGAAAGCTGGGCCCTAACTTACTGACAGCTATTCATATTGTTAGTTATATTAATGAATCCGTCACCCATTACAAGTACAATCAAAGAGAAGGTACTTCAGAATATTTATTATACATCATTTTTATAAAATGGGTGGGATCTTGCACAGCAGAACTGGGTGTGATATTGAGATGATTTTTTTTTTTTTTTTTTTTTTTACAAAAATGTAGCCTCCTAGAAAAAACATGCATCTGGTTATCAAAATAAAAAGATGCAGACACAAAATTATTTTTATAAAATTAATTTTGCTATCATTCTCTATTTCTTGCAGAGTTAGATTGTGCTATCATAAAAAAAAAGCAGCGTCACGATATCACTGTAGGTAATATTTTTTTAGTATTAGTTGATTTACTTTTGTTTTTTGTTTTTCTGTTAAAAAAAAAAAAATGTAACCCCCAGTAAGGATACACGGATTCTGACAGATCCCATATGCAAATAAATAGACAATACACTCCTGGACAAAATCGTAAGACCGGGGGAAACATTACCAGTATTCGCATTTCGCGCTGGTGGATCGTTAACGGGTTGTAAGTACTGCTTCAAAATGCCAAAAGAAGAAACAGGAGCAAGAGACACAAAATATAGAGTATAGGCAATTTATTGAAAACTGCATTTAAACCAAAACAGGCTGTTCATCAGCTGATCAAAAGTTTAAGACCATAGCCTTAAAAAGGTCAAATCTGCACAAAAATATGGCTTTCATGTCATTGTCCTTCAGGCAGTCACACTGTCATGATCTCCTGATGGCAAACGTAAAAAGGCTTTTTCTCTTTGAACGTGGCAGGATTGTTGACCTGCACAAGCCAGGCCTTTTGCAACGCGCCATCGCTGCCGAGGTTGGACGCAGTAAGACAGTCATTTTACATTTCTTAAAAGATCCTGAGAGTTATGGGACAAAGAAGTCAAGTGCTAGACCCGTAAAAATGTCATCTGCACTGAGCCTTGTTCACGGTTGTCCGTGAAGACACAGGTCGATCCTCAACCCAAATTAACGCCATTACTGGCTTTGCTGACTGCAGCCCAATAACCATAAGACGTCATCTGTGAGAGAAGGGCTTAAAGAACAAAAAATGTCTTCAAAGGCCACATCTCCTCACACGCCACAAACTTGCCCATATGGAATTTGCAAGGGCGCACCAAACATGGGACATTGAAAGGTGGAAGAAAGTCTTATTTTCTGATGAGAACATTTTTTTGCCTGGACAGTCCTGATGGCTTCCAACGTTACTGCCAACGTTACGATCCCACCGTAGATGTTTTCTACACGGCACAGTGGAGGAGGCTCCATCATGATCTGGGGTGCTTTATCCTTCAATGGGAAAATGGAGCTTCAGGTTGTGCAGGGGCGTCAAACGGCGGCTGGCTCTGGACATGTTGCAGTGGGCATCCCTCTTGACTGAGGGCCCTCATCTGTGCAGTAATGACTGGGTCTTTCAACAGGACAACACTGCAGATCACAACGCCTGCCTGACGAAGGACTTCTTCCAGGAGAATAACGTCGCTCTTTTGGACCATCCTGCGTGTTCCCCTGATCTAAATCCCATTGAGAACCTTTGGGGATGGATGGCAAGGGAAGTTTACAAAAACGGACGACAGTTCCAGACCGTGGATGCCCTTCGTGAAGCCATCTTCACCACATGGAGCAACGTTCCCACCAACCTCCTGGAAACAGTCCCATCAAGCATGCTGAAACGAGTGTTTGAGTGATCACCAAGAACGGTGGGGCTACTCACTACTGAGTCCTTTTTTGACACTTTTAGTTCTGTTGTAGATTTTTTTTGATCCGCTGATGAACAGCCTGTTTGAGATTAAATACAGTTTTCAATAAATTGCCTTCTCTATATTTTTTGTCTCTTGCTCCTGTTTCTTCTTTTGGCATTTTGAAGCAGTACTTACAACCCGGTAACAATCCACCAGCGTGAAATGCAAATACTGGTAATGTTTCCCCCGGTCTTAAGATTTCGTTCAGGAATGTATTAAAATTCAACACTATATTGTCAAAATACTGTAAATGAAAAATGTATATAATGATAATAATAATAAGCATCACAACTAACGAATAGTCTAAAAAATATCTTTCATTTTTGAGATCTGGAAAAAATTACATTTAACATTAAAATATTATCATTTTAAAATATCAAATTTAAAGGAATAGTTCACCCAAAAATGAAAAATCTGTCATCATTTACCCACCCTCAAGTTGTACCAAACCTGTATGAATTTCTTCTACTGAACACAAAAAAAAGATATTTTGAAGAATATGGGTAATCAAACAGTTGATGGGCTCCATTCACTTATAGTGTTTTTCCCCCTACTGATGGAAATCAATGGGGTCCGTCAAATGTTTGGTTATACCGACATTCTTTAAAAAAATATCTTCTTTTGTGTTCAACAGAAGAAAGAAACTCATACAGGTTTGGAACAACTTGAGGGTGAGTAAATGATGACAGAATTTTCATTTTGGGGTGAACTAACCCTTTGATTGTGATTAAGGAAGTATTAAATATATGAGGCAACAATTAAGCTTCAATTAATTTTCCATGTTCTTTAATTATCTATAAAAAGGCGCATAAACAACACAATAAGAAGTGACAAGCTATAAAGAAGCGGAAGCAACTTAAGCAAAGTGTTTATGTCATAGGGTATGTCATCTATATCATATATCATGGAAGACTATGTTTCATTTATAGTGCTCTGAGAGTGCTAAATGGCTCTACAATTGTCAGTATGCTTAGATTTAGCTTTTGCTATCACACTCAACGAAACCACAAAACAAGATACTACTTCTCTTATGTCAGAGAATGTAGTGGCTAATAACCTTACACAAGGTTCCAGCATCTGTCTGTATAGGGATTACATGTCTCTCTCTCTCTCTCTCTCTCTCTCTCTCTCTCTCTCTCTCTCTCTCTCTCTCTCTCTCTCTCTCTCTCTCTCTCTCTCTCTCTCTCATTGATATGTTATTGCATTTAATATTGTCAACATTACAGGTTGGTGAGAGCATGAGGACTATATAGGTCTCCAGCAGGTGCTGAGTGGCTGCTGTCTCAGGTCACACATTGCGACAGGACATGTTTGAGATCCCTGGCTGACAGCCCTGGTGTCATGACATCATCATCATCATCATCATCATAATCATCTTCATCATAAAACCTTTGCCAGGGGAATTATCCAATTAAAGTTGAGAGAGGATGCACTCTTGGCAAAAGGTCCAAAAACAATGGATGAACGGATGCTAGATAGTAGCTAGAAATACAATATGGTTGAAAGGGATTTTCAGCCAAGAATGACATCATGGTCCCACAAAAGGTGCAGCACCCATGCGCGAAAATATCCAGCTTTGATTTACACCCACAGAAATGACAGGTGAAGTTTATGGGCAGATTTCTGATCCATCATCAGCTAACATGGGAATGGCCGTTTCATCAATTAAACATCTAGACAAAAAAAATAATAGCACTTACAAAGCCTGATAAAACAAATAGTGCAACCTGAAAATGAGTAATTCAGGAATCATGCAGTGAAGGAATACTATGTACGTTTCTGTCATTCTCCGTCAAATAACCAAAGCCTAAACATGTTAAGAATTCTGCTTTACCACGGTGGCTGCCACATCTGTCATTATGTCAGCCATCGCATCCCAAATTTAGCCAAGGAACCATGCTTCTCATCCTCATTACAGGTAATAAAAACCATAAAGGAGATTTTAGTGAGACGATTGAGATGAAATTATTTCAGGGCTTAGCTCACCTTTAAAAAAAGCATAAACTTCTTGGAGACAATAGTGAAGTGTAGTTTTTCATTGTGGCTATGTGGAGGGTTGGTTTCATCTCTAGTGGTATAGCTTCTTTGGAAGCTGTGGGTGGGTGTCTGGTTACTGGGGGAGTTATGCATTCTGCCTGAGGGAGAGGCTGCACTGCGTCCACTTAAACACAGACCAGGCCCCTCGCAGACAGGACAGGGTCAAAAGTCACAGCTTAACAGGGCTGCCCATTGTCTCCTGACAGGTTGGGCACATCCAGCGATGAAAATGCACTCAAAACAAACAGAGTCCTGAAATCTGGGGAGACAAGTGAGAGGGGCTTCTCCACTATCTTCATTAATCAGAGGCCAGGTAACGTTCAAAAGGATCTGCCGACCCTTCCCTCATCCCTCAAACCCGGGACTGCAGGATGGACATGGTGGCTCAGACAAAAGAATAGTGGCCCCATGATTTTTCCTCCATTTAGACGCGTGCTTTTATTGTCAATGCCCAAATTCGATTGAATGTGGCAAAAGAGTGAACTGTCGCAAAGTTAGACAATCTCATATTGACTTAATTCACTCTGCACCTGTAATTTATTCATTTTCAAAAGTATGTTTAAAAATGAGTGTCATTTGAAATGACATTTGAAATGAATGCCAGCTTGCCAATACGGAAAAAATCATTCAATATCCCGTGTTCAAGCATACCAGAGTAAACAGGTGTGATAAAATTTGATTTAACTGTTTGGCAACTAAATATAATTTAAGAGGAATTTAATGTAGGTCAATCACGAAATCTTCTCAGCATTCTAGGGTCTAAGAATCAAAGTTTGTTTTTTATTTAAAATATTTGAGTCGAATTTTGTATGATTCAGTTAAAAGTGATTTGGAGTACTTGACTTGCATGGAAATGCATGTTCATTTTATTTTGAGAACCTCTGTTGATGTTATTTTTAATCGGTACACATCTGTTTCTCTTCTCTTGTAGATTAGACCTACTGATAGGAGCTGGATTAGTCTCAAAACAACCGTCTCTGCAGGTATACCCACATGTGCTCAAGGGCTAAGACCTAACAATATAGTGGTAAGTTAGACCGCATGTTGTCACACAGGGAAGTTGTCACAAGGGATTTATGACATTAACTATGTCCAATAACATGTGTGATTTCTCCAACCGTACTTTTGTAAGTTGGTTTGAAATATTATGTCATATTTTTTGCCTTAGCTGTTAGGTAAAAAAAATGAACACAATAAAATCACATGGCATTCAGGCAAGTGTCAAAACTATTATTAAAGCAGCCTTTAACCAAGATGTTGAACTTATGTGCTTTCAGCTCAGGACAAGTTGAACTAACACTTTTACTGGGTCAAGTTGTCCCATGTGTTTTACTTTTCTTTTTTTCAAAATTCTTTCTTTTGTATGAAATGAATGCATTTTATATTTGCAAATTTCATGTTTAATCAATTGTGGCAACCTTCCTCATATAGTGTGACAACATGCCTCACTAATGACCTGCATGTTTTTCCTGAGCAGTTTTTATTTTTCAGGGAAGAAAAGAGCGTAATAGCCAAGATTTTACGTTATGTGCCTTTACAGAAAGTGACAACTAGCTCTACTAGTCTCTTCTAAAAACCTAATTTAGCATGACTGTACCAATTACATGGCTTTCACCTGAAATGTACGTGTCAGAGTAACAACCTTTTTACATTTAAACAATACATTTTTGCTAATTTTACAGGCCTGAAAAATTGCGTACTCCCACATGAACAGATTGAAAAGCATTTATTCTTCCACATTACCCTGTGATTGTCATCATACCGAATTACTAGATAAAGATAAAATATGATGGTGTTCATTGTACATAACCTTTTTAACCATAACAATCTATTTAATATAGAGATTTATATCCAAAGCAGCTAAGGAAAGCTGGCATTTGAAAATGTATGTAGTATAGGAAATTAATATTTTAAATTGCCTTTTTAAAGAGGTGCCAATACTCCATTGAAATGGAATACTACATTAGAACGTCATTAACGGATACAAGCATGAGAATTGAATCCCTAGCTATTAATACAGATGTATTTAGAGTTGAACTCTGTTCAGACCCACAAAAACAAATGTCCAGTAGCGAGTGCATGAAGAGCTAACAAGCAAGCAGGCTGAGTATTGAGACAGTTCACCCTAAACTGCACAAAACGCTGACTTTCGCCATAAGAACAGCACACCTATAAATATCATAGCCAGGCAGCAGCTGGAGAACCAGACATAACTGTTAGCACCTCCAGCATGTCTCAGTCCAGACAACAACTCTTCTGAAACACACTGATCTGGACCATAGAAACAGCCACATGTTGCTTTGCAATGTGCTCATATCCATTTACAAATGAAGCAACTAAATAAAACCATGTGTGCATGCCCAAGTAAGTGGTCAAGATAAACCTGGTGACCTTAAAATGGCTTTTCAGAATTGGCCAACAAATTGGCACAAACTGTTGCTTCTGTCTTACCGTTGAAAGGCTCGCTCTGGGCAGAATTGTACTGCTGCATAAGGAGAGGTCATACTGCCAGACTGGGGTCTTTACTGAGGTCGTCAAGGTTATCGGCAAGTGGCCCAAGCACATGTATTACAGCAGATCTGGAGTTATAAATAAATGAAAAACATGAAAAACATAAACAAAAAAGAAATTGTGAGGCAGATTAAAGTGCTAGAAGGTCAAGTGCACAGGAGTGAATCAAGTGTGGAGGATGTTTTAATTTTGGTTTAATCTTTCTACAGCCCACAAGCAAAGGGGCGGCGTCAATGCCAACATGCTGACCAATCCCTGACAACAACTGGACATGGTATCATACCCACTCAGTTGCTAGGATATAGATATCAAGCAACAACCCCCACCCATTCCATTCCTAGTCCATGTCCCCAGCGATGTCTGTCTAAGCACTAACCTGAAAAGCACATTCCGCTGTCCATTCGCTGGCTGCCGTTTCTATCCAGAATCCCAGGAGCTTTCAGCGATGCGTGGTGATTGCATCACACTAGCCGCTAACTTCTATTTTAACCTGACCAGGTGAAAAAGATGTCACATCAAATAGCCCTCGGTGACCACGGTGGCTTCCTGACCTGTCAATAGGGCTGAATCTCTGTGTTAGAAGTTTATCGCCCTGCATCCCTTCATCCGCTAACATGCAGAGCAAGCACCCGTGACATGACAGGCTAATCTTAATTGGCAGATTCCTGCTCTCATTGAATAAGATGAATAAAACCAACGTTATAAACTCAAAATGATGCTCTCCCTGTTGATGTCAGCTTGTTGGTTGTTACCAATTCTACAATGAAAATTAAATTAGAATTGCTACTGTATGTTCTTCAATGTTCTCTAAACACAACACACATAGCTGTATTGTTAAAATCAAGCCATCCATAGATGCGCAAAGAAATTATAGAAAAATCTTACTTGATTCAAGCCTGCCGATGGTATAGACCAGAGGCTGTAAACTTAGAGGTGTTTTGCGGTTTTTACGGGTTGAATTGCAGATGAATCAGAGGTCTAAAATAAAGGGGAGGTCACAGAGGGGAGAAGGATAATAAATAGATGCTGGGTATCCAGGGAACACGAGCCGGTGCGCCGGACTTTTGTACCTTTTAAGAGAGCCTCAGTCAAGTGTCTTCCTTCTTCTATCCTATTCCACCACCCATAATGTACTATAAAGGGAAACCTTATAACGTGCACAGTGTGTACTAAACTATTGTGTTCAGGACATAGGCCGCCCGTTTGTTTGTACATTAATTATTTTTCGCAACCAAGTTTACTAATCTGACTTAGTGAAAAATGAAGGACAGGACTCAATTGTATTAGGAATTGACTGGATTCTGAAAACTGGATTCTGAAAACAATCTAACCCGATTGCAGATTTGCAGTATTATCCGATAGCCTATGTGAAATTATGTTAGCAGAAAAGCAAAGGTGTTTTGGTAGAAAAAATACTGAAAAAATGTAACCATGTTATTGTTTACTTAAATGTCAACATGAAATCAACATGGAAATTCTTGTTTTTTTAAATATGTTGCAGTAATTTAAAATTATTCATCCATGCATATCATTATGGGTTTTTATTTTTTATTCATGTGCCCTTGTAATTTTAAGTTGGCATGAAACGTTAGTTCCGTTAGTCTTTTCTTCCCTATTGTGACATATTCGAGTGAAACGGCTTCTCGAACAAGAAAAAAATGTAGGGCGGGACTCGATTTTGTCCAATTGATTGGAGCGTTGGATTGTTGTTGTTTGCTATTACTGTGATCTCGTGTGAGTGACAGGTTGTCCGACCCTTGAATACAAACTTCTGTTTCATGCCGACTTTAACCAAAGCCACTTTAAGGCAAGCCTTCAATATTAGCAAATTAAGTGTAAATGCGGTGGTATGCAGAGATGGAGACCAGAGGCCTTTTTTTTTTTTTATCAATGTCAATGGAGAAGAGGAGTAGAGAAGTCACAAACAATTGTTCCTTGATAACTAATCACATTACAGCCTTAATGTCTTGAATTTCTGAGTTTTACAACTGTCAAATTCGATGACATTAAGGCTATGTGACATAATCCAAATGAACCTTTATACGCTTTCTCCAGTGGTAGAGTCACCAGTCACGGATCTAATAAGAACATCTCTGCTTTAACTAACTGACCAGCAACCTCTCAATCTCATGTCCTTTGATATATCTTTCCCTACACATGCCAAACAGCAAGTTATTTTAGACCAACCCCACAACACACACCCAACACACAGTTAAGCATACACGGCACACACCCAGGCAGATAGCTTTACAAACATCTGCAAATTGTGTGTCCTCATTTTGCCATTCCTGAGCAGAATCCAACTTTAACTAAATGTTTCGCCCAGCTGTACTTGGCTTTAGTTTATAGATGGTGGCAGATTCCCACATACCCACCAAAGTGAATACTTTTAACTTAACTGTCACTTGATACAATCCCAGACTTTCACTGTGTACTTGATATTAAATATTAAATAACTAAAAGCATTAGAGAAGTGCTTTCTGCTCTCTTTAAGGAGGTAGAATATTTCAACGCCATGGCAAAATAAATCTTACCCGTGTGGGGAATGAGTTTGCAATCTGAATTGAATCTGATAAGATTTATATAAAAAATGTTGTTTTTTTTGCGCAAAATAATTGCAAGGAAACATGCCTTTCTGTCGAGTAGACTGAAAGCAAGAACAAACATACAAGAGAGTGACGCGACAAGTGTAGTCCGATTCACAAACAAAGGATAAGGTTATTTTAATGAATCATTCAAAAAGACTAACTCAGCAATCATCCGTTTTAATCCTTCGCGGAATGAACTCATCGGCTGTGTCCGAAATCGCCCCCTATTCCCTTAAATAGGGCACTATTTAAGGGGGCAGCCATTTGTAATGGTATCCGAAACCATTCCGGACGTTATCGAGTGCAGTTATTTAATCACATAATGCACCGCAATAACAAGTGTGCAACCGATGTACACTCAAAGGCACCCGAATGAATTAATCTCTCCAGAAGATGAAGCCTGCAGGCGAATCATCCATCCATCCATTTTCCAAACCTATTGTCCAATGTGGGTACAGCGCAACATCATACAGGTATAAAATTAATTTTTAATTGATTATTAAGTTGTTTAATTAAGGCTATACATAGTTTCCATGACAGAGTTCAATATAAGTCTTTTCATTACTACTGAAGCTGTCAGTTTGCTAAGTTTCAAATGATTAGCCTATTAAACAGCAAGCACAAACTATGCAAAAGTGGGAGCCCTTCCAGTGGACTCAGTGTCCGAATTCGCTCACTCGTTTTCATTCATTCCTTCAAGTGGTGTAAATTGACTATATTAGTGGAGTAATGTAGGGAATAGTGAATATATAAGGGACGATTTCAAACGCAGCCACTGATTCTGTCAGACCAGTTACTGAATCCACATCTGAGTCTCTACATTCCGTTCAGAAAATAAGTTGTGTACATAAGGTTTGTGAAACTTAAATCAGTTATATATACACTACCGTTCAAACGTTTGGGGTCGGTAAGATTTTAAATACTTTTAAAAGAATTCTCTTCTGCTAACCATGGCTGCGCTTATTTGATTAAAAATACAACAAAAATCAGTTATAGTATTAAATATTATTCCAGTGTAAATCAGCTGTTTTCTGTGTGAATATATAGTAAAGTGTAATTTATTCCTGTGATCAGTGCATCACCAGTGTCAGTGTCTTCAGTGTCAAATGATCCTTCACAAATCAGTATAATATGAGGATTTGATTCTCAAGAAACATTTATTATTATTATCAATGTTGAAACAGTTGTTGGTCTGTCAGTTGTACAGTTTTTTTTTTTTTTTTTTGGATTCTTTGATGAATAGGAAGTTAAAAAGAACAGCATTTGTTTGAAATAGAATCTTTTGTAACATTATAAATGTCTTTACTGTCACTTTCGATCAAATTAAGTATTGATTTCTTTCCTCCAAAAAATAAAAATAAAATTCTCACTGACCCCAAACTTTTGAACGGTAGTGTACATATATAATATACCCGTCTCCCATGAAAGACTTGTAGATCAAAGAGAGGTTTTGTTGTATGCGGGTGTTTACCGTGATGATAACATCATATGACAACAAATTAGTTTAAGGTAATGATCTAAACTAAAGTTTGGTTTTGATTTTTTCTGCCAGTGTCAGCAGGTTATAGTTAATGAAGAAAAAAAAAAGAAAGAAAAAACAACAACAACAACAACAACAATTGATATAAGCTTGTGAAGCACAAACCAGAAAACTAGATGTGTTTGAACTTCTGTTTTAGCGGTAGCTCTGTATATTGCTATGGCATTGCTGTCGAAGAGTAATTAGCAGGTGAAGTGGATTTACTTATTGTAGAGTTAATGACAGTTATCATGACCATTGTTTGAAGCGGATGTCATAACAAATGTCAGTAGAATCATAGTTGGGTAAAATTCTATAGCGGCGAATGAGAGAATACATTAAATATGTTTTTTTGTGTTCCCATTTGCTCAAATAGCAAAAGTAAAACTCCACAATAGTGTTTTCACAACTTTCAAATAGAGGAAAAAAAGACAGAGATAACGGCAGTCAGAAGAGAGAAAAGATGTCAACTTTACCATCACTCCCACAGCCACTGTATTAGAAACACCCTTACAGCAGTGTTAACTAGTTTTTTGTAATTTGATGCAAAGGTAATATAATACAAAGCATACAGTAGTGTTATACTTGTACATACAATAAAAATAAATTTATATATATATATATATATATATATATATATAAACTTTGCAGGATTTACAATGCTGATGACCGTAAAAACGCGTCATCACAGTCTGTGAAAAAAAGGTCCACTGTCATCTCTGATTTAGATTCTATTTATTAGTCTCAATATGGCAGGGTATAGCGGTATATTAAAACAATTTTAAAATCGTAATATAGCATAGTGCTATTGTGCAATCACAAAGGCTGCGAATCAATTAAATAAATATAGGCTATGCGCTGCAGGTTTCAGATTAAAGCACAACACTTTATTTACATGCATGCAGGTTACAACGTCTCAGAGCGACTCAATTCACAGTAACACAAACTCAGTCTCTGCATGTGCTGTTTGTTTCCAATAACACGCATTTGGGAAAGCATATAAAGTCTGACACGCTCTGTTTCATAGCGCAGTGTAGCACCATTATCCTTTACATGCATGGGACTCCATCTCTGCATATTCTGTTTGGGTTGCTTATAACATTCATCTGGAAATGCAACATGCGCCACTTCACCAGGCTTGTAACGTTGATAATTTATTAACCTATACCAACACAGCAAAACACGTCAATATGTTTCCAATGTTGTTCATCACAATTTCAAAATAAAAGTTTGAATGTTTCGATGTCCATTTGTTCTTGTTCAATAAATTACAATGACTATAGGATTTCTATTGTAAAGAAGTGGCCAAATATTAAAGATTAAGAAGTGGACATTTTTGGCTAATGTTAAACAAGGATTTGATCATGCTGTAAAGAGTAACAATAATAATAATAATAATAATCCACAATAATATTTGACAACTGTTTTATAATGTTTAATTAATATACACAAAGAGAATATTTCTTAAAATGAAAACTTAATTTAATAGCATAAAACCAATCAATTAAATTAATTAACTAGCCCATCTTTTACTGTTATCTGTTAGTTTGTTAGTAGTTAGCCTAATACATGTGGCACAC